CACTCACTATTACATGTGAAATAGACACACACTATTACATGTGAAATGTCTATAGGGCAGACCACTCAAATCATTTTCCCTCAGCCGCTGGATTTTCTTTTTTAAAAACCACTTTTCTGTCTTATGAGTGAGCAGCACTGAGCCTAGGACGGTGTGCTAGTGTTACCGGCCAACTTGCCAGAATCTAGAAACACCTCTGAGATAGGGAACACACCTTTGTGCAGTTATCTAGGTTAGGGCAGCCTCGGGGCAGGCCTGTGGCCGTTTCCTGACTGCTACACTGACTGGAAAAGAGGATTTTAATTGTGGGCAGGACCATTCCCTGGGTGGGGGATCCTGGATCTGTAGGCGGAGAAAGGGGAGCAGGCAGAAGGGAGCATTCCTCACTCTGCTTTTTCACTGTGGATACAAAGTCACCCAGGCCCCTGCTTCACCATGGATGGGTTGTCCCTGGAATTGGGGGGCAGAATGAACCCTTCCTTCCTTGCGTTGTTTTGTCACAGTGACAGAAACTAAGACTGGCCTTTCACCTGTCAGGCAAGCTCACCATTAAGGAGAGCTTAACACGTTAAGAGATCATTACAATGGCTCCCCAGCCCCCAGTGTAAGGATCTGTCTTGTCCCTTTAAGAGACAAGCCACACCTACCCCTCGCCTCAGCCTGAGGCAAGCTGATCTTCAGTTCCAGTCTGAGTCCTTCCTTTTCTGTCTCCTAGAGAGGTAGCTGCTGCTGTGGCTTCTCTCCTTCCCCACCCCCTTACTCTCTCTCTTTCTCTCTCTCTCTCTCTTTCTCTGCATCTCTCTCTGCTCTTCTCCCCTTCTTCCCTTTCCCCTCCATAACCCACCAAATAAATATCCAATCTTACTCTGCATGCCCTGCCTATTTGTCTGTCTCTCGCCCATCACATGGCTCCCTGTCCAGGACCAGCCACCTTCTGCGGCGTGATCTCCTGGTGTGCCCATCTGTCTGTCTCTCCTTGTGGGACTGGCTGCCCTGTCCAGTCTTTCACCTTCCATGTGGCTCCCTGCCCCTTGTGACCCACTGCAGCCACTTGGGGAACTGCGCCATCCCTGCCTGGGACTGGCTGGTCTTGGGACTCGCAGCCCACTGCCTGCCGCCACTTTAGGGACCTGTGGCATGGTCTGGGGACCCCCTGCCTGCTGCAGCCACTCAGGGACCTGCAGTATTTTACTTAAATAATAACACAAAGCACATCTCCTATGAAGAAAGTTCTGCATGGTTAGAACAAAAAGGAAGTTAAGGTTGTAATAAATGTATCAATATGATTTCAAGTGCCTCAAAATCAGTACAAGCAACCTGAACAGGAAGCTTTGTTTGGAGTTCTACTATGTGACGGCAGCCAGATCCTCAGATAATAAAAGGCTGATTTCTGTAACTCTGTCGAAGGTGTGGGCTCAATAGAGTGTTTTTATAGGAAAGATGGGTGGACAAATGAGGCAAAGGAAAAATTGTCTCAGGCTCTTAGTTTCCTTAACGAGGTTTGAGGGTCTTAGAGAGACAGCTCAACAGTTAAGAGTACTTGCTGCTCTTGCAGAGGAACCCAGTGGGTTTCCAGTTTCCCCCTCTGGAAGTTCACAACCACCTGTAATTCTACCTCCAGGGGATCCAACTGATTTGGCGGAGATTCTGGTCTTTATGGGCACTCCAAGACACACATACACTATTTAAAATTAAATTTTAAAATGAGTGTCCACTAAGCCAGAACAAATGGCTGTGGGATCCCGAATCTCTGCATGCCTCATAAACTATGTATTTAACCCAT